TAGAATTCGGCTAGAGCAGTATTCGCATGTTAGTAAACTGGTGTTTTTTCTGCACCGAGCTGTTTGTCTACGGTGCACTTTTGGTTTTGGATTCAACATCTCGTATCCATCATGAGTCGAGACTGTTTATAGTGGACAACCGTGATTCTAGACGTCAGGTAGCTAGCCGTCACGAAGTGGGGATGGCAATTGCTCTGATTGTAGTCATGCGCTCCATTCACGATACTTCTGACAGGTGAATCGCCTTTTTAGCAAAGTAGATCTGAAACCCCGAAGCCCACAGATACCCTCAAGTGACCCTCAGCCTCTGCAAACCCCATGCTTCTTCACAGGACGGCTGCAGCAGCCCTACACCGGAGCCAGCCCGTACGTCGGCGATATCAGGACCAAGCTCCATCGTGTTCGGGCAAAGCACGGCGTCGTTGGATGTGTTGACCCCTTTCAGAGGGGAGCTTCTGCATTTTGCTTCCTTGATCCCTGAGGACGCCAGTTGCAAAAGCCCAAGTCCTGCCAAGCCGCGGGCTGCATCAGGCTCGGATTGCAATGGCCAGTAGGAGCCCGCGAAGCTTGCAGTCTCGCGGATTTCTTTGCACGAGTTTAGTAGGCGCTAAAAGCCTTCAAATCTGCACAAGTCAAAACCGAAGCCGCCTTTCATTCGCGATCTGGTGAACAAGAAACTTCAGAGCACCAAGCTCAAGAAGGGACGAGGTCTCAAGGTGTAATTTCGCCCAGGTTTTAGGCAAGGATTGAGGATGTCTGTTGTGTCGCTTCCATGGTGCCGCTCTTCGAGGGACCCTGCTTATGCCCTGGCCATGTTATGGCGATGTCCCCAAAGACAGGGGCCACATGCCTTGAACCCGCAGATGCACCTCAAGTCGTAGTGGTAAAGGTAGAGTTGAACCCCAGCAGCCCGAAGTCATAAGCCGAAATCATAAGTCTAAGCCCTATATGACCCAATTCTATTCCCAAACTCTCATCTCTGAGCAAAGGCCCCCTGAAGCATAAGCTTCAAACGATAAACCCTGCACCCTCAAGCCCAAAATCCTACTGACCCGCTCAAACACAATTCGCGTGAACCAAGGCTTACCTACTCACCCAAACCCCTACATGCCACTAATCCAAGCCCCAGTCTAAACTAAGCAAAAAGGCCCGATCCCTGATAGCAACCCTCATAGTACCCCACATAGACACCCCCAAAACCCCAAGAGCATCCTGGAAGGCGGCAATTGGCTGGTGGATCTTCTTGGGCCTCGCCGCAGGGGTCCCCAGTCGCAACCAACAGCAGTAGATGGGGTAAGCTTTCGAGTTTAGGGTATTCCGAATTCCCTTGTGAGTGTTTCGGGGTTCAGGTGTAGGCTCTTGGTTCAGGGCCGGAGGGCGTAGGATTTAAGCTTGTGGATATCGGGTAATTTAGGATTTCCAGGCGAATTCTAATCTGCAGCGCGGGTTGCCGCGACTACTCGATCGTAACACTGAGCCATCTTAAGCCAATCTCGGGCCAGAGTGGAATCGGGTATTGGAAAATGGTATACTCTAAATAGGATTACAACAAAAATCGCCACTAGTGATTGTGAACGCTGACATGGCTGCAGAGGCAGAAAAACGGAGGGGGGGTGGGGGCTGAATGAGGACATGCCGAGTCAATGCGTGCATCCTGCCATAGCCACAAACATGTCCTGAGTCTTTAGGCGATCTCTGAGTTGTTTGTGTTTGCTTTACACACCTCCTGCAGCAATTACGACATATTCATATTCGTTTTTTGAGCCGTAGGGCGGGGCTGGGCTGAGTGGCGAAGGCCGGCGAAAGAGTTGCTTCAGCGCGTGTTCCTCCCGTTCACTCCGTGGTTCTGCTTCCCTGAGGGCTGAAGGATGCAACGGCAGCTAAACCCATTTTAAGGTCTTACCCTGCCCAGGTGCTGAGCTTTGGGCTTCCGATCGCTGCATGCTGAGTAGGCAATCAGAATTAAGGTTCCCCCCCTTCGGAGGGGCGGACTTCTTCTAGGCGGATGCTGTTTGTACAGGGATCGGCGAGGATCCTACAGCCAGCTGCGCGCCTTTGGGCCCCCGAGTGGGGTGGGCACAACGAGTGCCTCGAGCGTCTCCGGAACACTCGGGCCTTCTAAGGTTCAGGGCTCTTGGAAACTCTTAGGCTTTAGGGCTGTAAGAATTCCTGGGAGAGAGGCCGCTGGCACTGCCTGGTGCGCGCGCTGGTTAGATCTGGCTCTCCACTGCTGTTTATTCCATGAAGCTTATCAGAACGGGAGGAGCCAGAGCATCTTGACTTGGTAATGAGGGCCTCGCTCAGCAGAGCTCTGCGAGGCCTAGTAATTGAATGTTCTCACCACCTGCAAGACAACCCGGACCCGGCATTGCAACATGCTGCAAAATCGAGCGCGCTGATGTCTGAGATTTGGACAGTGGTTACAGAGATGTACCTTTGGCCGAGATCGCTGCGCCGGCATCCGAAGAGCCTCGTGAGAAAGGCGGGGCGCACCGTCCGAGCTCGGCGGTAGGTCCGCCCATTGGCAGTTGGAGAAGGGCCAAGTGTAGAAGAGATGCAAGGTCTGGAGGTTCCCAAGAGGTCTGTCGGTTTGTTTGCATACCTCTACTTCTGACCTTAAAAACATGCGCAGTTTGCAGCCATGTTCGCCGGCAGGCTCCAAGCCGATGTCCTCCAAGTCGAAGGATACCCAGGATGCCTGGCTCCTGTGACGTGCCAGTTTGTCGGAACATCTTCGCGATCGCTTGGGAAGCTCGCGGCGGCTGAAGCCGCGAGCCCTGCAGTATTTGTCTTCCAGACGTCCGGTGAGCTTGTACAGCGAGGGTCCGAAATTGAATGAGCCCTTTGAGCTCAGGGCCATTGTGCCCCGCCGAAGATTCCAAAGCAGAATCGGGGGCCTCATCGACTACAGCCAGAGGGCCAAAGCACTGCCCGAAAGACTCCAAGTCCATGGAGCCCTCAAAGCTGGCCGCAGCAGCGGGTATTCAGCCATGGACAAGGTCGCTTGACCCGAAGCCGCGTACTCCGCCAAAATGTTTGACCTTTCGCATCGAGCATCAATCACGACAAAAAGTTGTTGCCGTGACGATCACTGCATGGGACGTGGAATTCCACGGGAGGTCAAGAACCTGAATTGGAGTTTGGTGCAGGTGATTTCTGCAAGGTTCGCTGATCGTGCCGAGCAGAAGCCAGGGGCCCAGGACAAGCGATTGAACCACGGTTGTCTAGAGTCTTGAATGTTGGCTTCGGGCCGCAGATATGGGATTGAAGAAGGCCCGTACGCCGGTCGACCATCCCCCCACACCGAAAAGTAGCTTCCGTTGTTGCTTCATGCGAATTAGGGCTCATTTGCCGCCGTGCCAAGCTCCCGAGTTGCTACTTCAAGCCTGCCATTCCCAGGCCCTGGCCCTTTAGATGCCTGTTGGACTGCGCTGTGGCCAAGGCTTCTTAACTTCTACTCCGAGATGAAGGATGTCCGAGAATCTTCGCGCACGCAGGCTTTGGGGCGCCTTTGGGTTGATTGAGTTTTGGGTTTTGGGGATGTTTAGGGTATAGCATGCTGCCTTTGCCGCAACCCAGAGCCCTCAGTCTAGGCTTGGGGCTCCGTCGCCGAGAGCTGTTGAAGTTCTACTGCTCTGGACATCCTGCCCTCGAGTCTGCTTCCCCCTGAATGCCTGAAACACGGAGCCGCCGTGAATCTGCGGGAAAGGTGAGGAAGATACCGTTCACTTCTGCTGCAAGCTCAGTCAGAGTCAGTGGCCAACCGAATCATGCCGTATTGACAAGTACTGGATCAGTTCTTCCGCTTCCGATGGTTCACAACCATGAGACTAGTATCCAAGCCTGCGTGTGAATACCCAAATCTGCAGGTATAAGATATGTCTGCAGGTATAAGATACGCTACCACAGATGCGAAGAAGCAGCAGAGAATGAACCTCAGCAGCCTGAAGTGTTCTCGAGACTCATTGGACTCATCAACACCCGATAGAAGCCCGTGCCCCATGGTCGAAGGCCCCTTGGGTCGTGCTGTCAACCTCCCGCCCGTGCAGTAAATTTCATTAGGAACCCTGATGGTGAAAGCATGTCGCATCCTGAGGTCGGCAGGCCATCATTGGTACATATGAGCAGAATTCCTTTCTTGCTTTGAATTAAAATGAGGAAATGGAAGGATGGACACAGCCTTCCCCACAGCGGTATAGTTAGATCCTTACTTCTGATTGCTGACAGTAGCTCACCTGGCCCAGGGGCTCGATGAAGGGGCGAGTCGGATCAGAAAGTTCTAACACCTAGATCAGGGATGTAGGCCGGGCCCTAGCCCTAATATAGGCGTCCAAATAAATACCAATACTATTTTGGGGGTTCCTTATCATAATTATAGTATAGTGGGCCCCAAAAACCTATTCTAATTATTAAGGCCCCTCTACGGGGTATACTATACCATAACTATAATAAGGAGCCAAAAACCCTATTCTAATCATTAAGGCCCCTACATTCAACACTGCCTCTTCATACTTTCAGTTCAGGCCCTGGGGTTTTCTCGGCCTCGTCTTCCAGCTCAGGCGACCCGAGCGTGGATGGCTGCCAAGAAGGCTCGGAGAGTCGGAGCCGGGCGGGGGGACTTTGGGCCGTGAGCTCCCAGGAGAATCCCAGCTTTGTCGGGTTCAGGGTTTTGGGTTTAGGGTTTTGTGAAAGATTGAAAGCACGATCTTCCCATCACGATACTTATAAGTCCCCTAATATGGGTTATAAGTATAGTTACCCTACTTATAACCCTGTATGCTGAGAGCTACCCATGAGAAGGATTGAAAGACGGAGCGCCTCGTGTCTGTGCATCCGAAAGCTGCTGGCTCAGAGCCAAAGACCATGGAATGGAACCTGGAACAAAGCCCCCAAAGAGCTCCCTCGGAACTGAACTCCACACTGGTTGCGGGCTCCAATGGTCGAGACTTGTACCCAAATAACAAAGCACCTCATCACTGCTAAGACCTAGGAATAGGGTCATGGCACCGACGGCTGCCGACGATGAGCCCTTCCCTCCCTTGGCACCTCCATCTGTGACGGAGCTGACGGAGGTTGGGCTTGCTCCTAGTGTGCTCTACGGATGTATCTGCATTTGTAGGTTGTAGATGCAGAAGTGGACCTGGATGCAGATGCATGTGGGTGGTTGTCAAAATTGTTGTCCCTTCTTGGGTCCCTAATATAGTACGGCACCTAAGATTCAGGGTGCCCAAAAAGGGACCCTAATTTTGACAACCACCCATGTGTAGGAAGCGCGATCTGAATCTGCAGACCCAGCTCCTCCACAGGAGGCTGCGGAACAGCAAGCGGCTTTGAAAGAGGCCTACTGCCCCAAATGTTGTGCCGGGGCTGTTTCTGGTACCGAGAGGGCCGTGACAGCACATCGTACTGTATCCATAGTAGGAATGGCAAGACCAGCACAGAGACTGGCCATTTCTGAACATTGAAGCTGACTTCTTATGCTCAGAAGGATAGTCTTATCGGTACTGGTCATAAATCCTTGTTTACACTGCCATGTTTTCACCATGCTTTATCATAATTGTACTTTCTTCGCAGAGTAACACCGGTACAGACCATCAGCTGGAGGAACGGTTGATGATATAAATCCTGCATTACCCATAATAGGGAATATATGGGAATTATGGTATGCTTCTTATTACGGGTAATGCAGGATTTCCCTAAACCCTAAACCCTAAACCTCTTTATCATATGAATATTTACACTTTAATGTCAATTTCTGTTTAAGGCGATTTTCGGGGTTTAGCTGGCCAGAGCTCCGGCCCCCGCGCGCGCGCCAGACCCCCATGCCAATTCCTGTTTAAGGCAATTTTCGGGGTTTAGCTGGTCAAATTTCCGTATCCTGGTGCCAGACCCATATACCAAGTCCTGTTTAAGGCAATTTTCGGAGTTTAGCTGGCCGGAGCTCCGCGCGCCAGACCCTTATACCAATTCCTGTTTAAGGCAATTTTCGGGGTTTAGCTGGTCAAATTTCCGTATCCTGGTGCCAGACCCCCACCCGAATTCCTGTTTAAGGCAATTTTCGGGGTTTGGCCGGCCAGACTTCCGCCCCCCGCGCGCGCGCGCGCGCGCGCGCGCGCGCGCTCGCCAGACCCCTATACCAATTCCTGTTTAAAGCAATTTTCGGGGTTTAGCTGGCCAGGCTCCCGTATCCTGGACGCATTTGGTTTCGGTGTCCGTGGTGATAACCGCTTGACTGGGCTCATTCGACTGCGCACTGAGGCCTCGGCTCGCAGACTCTGGGGTGCCTTTGGGGCTTTAGCTGCAGGGCTCGTCTTCTTTGTCGACGTTGTCGGCGAGGACCACCGGACCCTCACTGCCAACTGGGCAAAGGACGATCAGGTTGCCGTCCAGTGGCATGATTGGGATAAACAGGAGAGCTTCGAGGAATACCGTGCTCGGGTGCTCAAGCTCGCTTCGGGGTTGTCCTTGGCAGCAGAGGCTTAGGTTGCAGGTTAGGTTCCAAGGATCCCTCTTATCAGCTTCAGCCTTCTCTGTGGCGAGCAAGGGCGATCCCTACCAACTACTGCATCGCTGACGTCACTGCTCTGCTGGAGGACCTTGGGTTCTCCAAGGTCAGCGTACAAACTTTGCACAGAGGCCGTCGCTCTAACGACTGGAGTTTTCGCGCCGTCCGTCAGGACAGACAGGCCATGCTCCAGCAACATGTGGCATGGGGTGAGGGGCTTGCTTCCGATCTGGTTATAGTTCGCGAAAGTGCTCGACGCGGTCCAGCTCCTAGTGAGAGATTTGAGCCCATCTCTGACAAACGTACGGTCACTTTCGGGGACTTTGTGCTGCAACAGCGACCTTCCAGCAGGCAGTCCCGCAAAAACAAATTGCGCCAGGATCATCCGCGATCAGCTGTTCCTGTTGCGGGTGCTTTGGCCCCTGCTGCTGCAGGCACCGCAACTGACGAGCAGGCCTCTAAGGGTGTCAAGCGGCCAGGCCCGGAGGGTTCTGGCAAGATGGCTGTTGATGCTGAGGCCAATGCTCCGTGGGCCCCTGTCGCGACACTGCTTGATAACCCGGGGGCAGGGAATTGCTTGTTTTATGCCATGGCCCAAGCGGGCTACGAGCACAAGACACCTGACCAGGTTACCCATCGACAGATGCGGAGGTACGCAGTCCAATGTTTGGAGGCCCTGGAAACGGAGCTCGCGCCCATATGGAAGTGTGGGGGCGCTCTTAATAGCTTGGGCAGGCAGTGCAGCCTGTCTTGGTCCGAGTACGTTCAGGAAATCAGTACTGCGGCGAATTGGGGAGGCACTCTCGAGGTTCTCGCTGTCAGCCGTGCCACGGGCTTCAGGGCCTGGATCTTTGAAATTAAGGAGGACCGGCTTAGCTTGCTTAATTCTGCCGGCAAGGCGGGCTTTGTCCTCTTACAATTCGACTCGGAGAAGCAGCACTGGCAGGCGTTCCGTGATGCAGATGAATCCGCTCTTCTGGCTCAGCATCGGGAGTCTGGTGAGATGCTGTTTGATGTTGCTGCTAGCCCGCTGCGGGGTGGCGTTGCCAAACCCTCGTTGTCGGCATGCGCTTCTGTCTCCGAGGATGCTTGCTCCCTGCCTGCCCGTCCTTTTGTCTGTGGCCGTGTTCAGGGTGGCGCGGGCGGTCCTCATCGGCTTTCGGAGGGTGTGGGTCGTCCTCGACTCTGCCTCTCAGACTGCGCCTCCTTGGACGGTACTGCTACGGGACAAACCTTTCCTGTTGCTGTTGCGCGTGCTGCTCCGGCGGATCGTCGGGTTACGCTTTCCGAGCGCGCTTCTGAGACCGCATTCCCTGGTTGGCAGCCATTTCAACGGACGGTTTACGAGCGGCTCTGCGATGGCCTGTTCGAGCCTGCCTCTCTTCGAGACCTTCCCTCTGTCAAGGATGTGGTTGCTGAGGCCTTTGTGGGACTGCAGCTTTCAGGCGCCGAGGCCATCCACGTCATTTCCTTCTTTGAGGTCGAAATTGCGGAGCTCCAGCAGGACCCTGAGGTCCGTCCCTGGTCCGAGGAGCAGTGTGCACATATTCGATCCATCTTTAAGTGCTTGCGTCTGGCTCCCCAGAGGATGCATGTGAAGCGACTGTGCGCACTAGGCTCGGTTTGCCCGTGCCTGCGATGGTGGCTGCTGGCTGTCACGCCTCTTGCTCAACGGCCGGTCCCGAGCAGGAGTGCCCTGGTCCCGACCCCGCTAGGCGGTTCCCCTCCTTTAGTGATTGCGCTTCCTCTGGTAGGGCTAGTGGCTCTTGTAAGCGCTCGCATTGGTACGAGTTGTCTTCTGCTGAGAGTCGGACGCTGTGCGCTGCCGCTCCTTTGCCATTGAGGCGCATCAGAGGTAAGCAGGCTACTCCTTGGACGACTTTGGCTGCCATTGCTTAGCATGATCATCGCAGTGCTGGCTCACATGGTGGTGGTCGGGATAGTGTGTTGGTGATTCTTGCGAGGCTGGTCTGCCGAAGCTCGCTGCTTACCGTGCGCGGGGCTCCTCCCATAACCCTGCCTTTAGGAAGGTGGGCTCCTTTGTCGAGCCGTGTGCCCACTGCCCGCACGTCTTTCGCACCTCCACGGCGCAAGCTCTTGCGAGGCAGAGATGGGATCATTACCGGAGGTGGCATCCTGATGTTCCGAGGCAGCATGGCCGTTTCATTGGTAGGACCATCCCTTTGGTCGAGCTGCACGAGCAACAGTCTGCTGATTGGAAGTGTCCTTTGTGCAGTGTCGGCATTGCTTTGGGAGGCTGCTCCGGCTTCTTTCGAAATGTCATCAAGAACACGAAACATTCGCATCGACTTGAGGCTCATCCCACTTACAGCAAGCTGGAGTTTAGCAATGCATCAAAGCGCAGGATCATGAAGGGAGGGGCACATGTCATGCGCAGTCGAGTTTTCAACTTGGTGTGCGTAAGGCCAAAGAGCGCACTCTTGGGCTTGCGGGATATTCGGCCTTCACGTGGCCGCGCTTGGGCGTGAAGGACGGCAGAAATCGTCTTCACCTTCATATGGCTTGGAGGTGTGACACTTGTCTGCGTACTTTCAGGGCTGCTACATGGGCTCGGGCTCATGTTTGCGAGACTGCCAACCCTGAGACGGTGAAGCACCGACAAAACCAGGTCGCTGCGATATGGGAGCAGTGTCGTGGCAGGGCTCATGAGCATGGTGTTGATGACAAGACTTTGCGTGAGGTGGTGGATAGTGCCATCATGATGCTTGGGGGTCATTTTCCGCCTTCATGAACATCCGCATCGCCACCTTAAATGTGAACCGCGCTGGCTCGCCCAAGCTGGCGGGCATCGTTGACATTATGCGATCCCAGGATACAAAGTGTGATGTGCTTTGTCTTCAGGAGTTGGATGTGCCAGAGGGCTCTGCTGCCTCTTTCTCGGCTGCCTGTACTAAGTTCGGGTTACACCTCTATTTGGCTTCGGCCACTCAGGGGCTCTGTAGGACTGTCATCTTGTCCAAAATACCTGGACGTGCTGTCAACTTGCATACCGACGGGCCGGTCAGATGCAACTCTGCTGTCTTTGAGCTGTGGGCTGCCGACCAGTACTCCAAGGTGCTGGTTACGTCCATCCATGCCACTCCTTCGGATCGTGCTCTTGCTCTTTTTGATGTGCAACGGTCTGTTGCCGCTTCCAAGGAGACTGGCTTCGAGTGGGTAACCCTCGGCGATTTCAACTTGGATGTGGCTGTTGGGCACTCGCAATGTCGCCGATGCTGCCAGGGTGGTCTTATGCGAGGTGGCTGGTTGGATGCTTGGCCTTCTTTCGCCTACCAGAAGTCTGCTTTGGCTGAGGATTCGCTTGGCGTCCACTTCCCTTGACTGGATTGAGGACGCTCTGCTCACCTTTGTCAGCAGAAAGTGGTACGACTTGTTGCCTGTCACAAACGAGGTGCTCAGGGACTTAGGATGGTGGACCAATCAGGCTGGCACGCACCTTTTCCGTCGCGACTCGGTCGGTGCTCTTCGCCAGTTTCAGTTGGGCGTTGACAACAGAGAGGTCCTCTTTGAGTGGCTTCGCGATGTGCATCGTAGACTGCGGCTCGCCACTTGCAGTCGTGTTTGCAGGTCGCTTCATCGTGATCCACAGCCGGATTTGGCGCAAGGTCTCGACTTGCCAGGGCCTCCTCCCGAGTCGTTGTGCCTCTTTCAAGGGCATGTGAAGGCTTGGAAAAGTGCCCGCGACTCTGTGGACAGGGCTACTGCTTTGGCTGGTGGCTGCTCTTCGTGGTACAAGGTGAAGCGGGACTACACCAGTTCCCTTCCGGCCGCTTCGCAGATTCGGTGCTTGTGTGGGCTGCGACAGCCGTCAAGGCCACACTTGATGTGGGCGTGCCCACGCACGGCCGAGTTCCGAGCTAGCTTGGGGGACCCCCCCACGCGGCTTGAGGAGCGTCTTTTTGCTCGAAGTGTTCCTGAGACTCCGAGGCCTCCAGCGGTGGTGGACTACTCCGGCTACATCGAGGACATCGCTGAGGCCATTGACTTCAGGTTGGCGCGTTCGCCGGGCTCTACGCTGGCTGTTGCCACCGACGGCAGCGTTGTCGACACCGTTGCCGCGTGGGCTTTGGCTTTCGACGACGAACAGACCTTCGCTCAAGGTTTTGCTTCTGAGGATCAGAGCCCTCATCGGGCTGAACTCGAAGGTCTTCTCGCTCTCTTTCGAGCCTTGGAGCTGTGCAAGTGCACTGGTGTTGTGCATGTCATCTGCGATTGCCAGGCTGCACTTCTGGTTTCTGAGGGTGGTGGTCTCGAGCGCCTCATGGCTGGCGCCTTCACTGCTGTTCTGAGGCGACTTCGGAGCCGCTTCGGAGTACATTGCTGGTGGTGCCCGTCCCACGGCAAAGCTGCTCCTGCTACATGGAAGTGTCCCCCATGCGGAGAAATTTACGCCAGACGCTTGAACGCCCTTGCTGATGGTGCGGCTCGCAGTCAGGCCGGGCGTCTCGCTGCTGGTTCGGCCAGGCAGCGCTGCTTGGAGTCACGGAGGGCGGCGGCGTGCTGGGAGCGGGATGCGCTCGCTGCACTGCGCAGCGTCGCTCGCGTCTGGATGGACGCCTAGTGCTGGTGGGCTTTCTTGACAGCGAGGACTTTGGCATCCTGCTGTCGCTGCTCTTTCAAGAACTCCCGTATCCTGGTGCCAGACCCCTATACCAATTCCTGTTTAAGGCAATTTTCGGGGTTTAGCTGGGACTTCCGCAACCCGCACGTGCGCCAGACCCACACCCCAATTCCTGTTTAAGGCAATTTTCGCCCTCCGCGCGCCCCAGACCCCTATACCAATTCTTGTTCAAGGCAAGTTTGGGGTTTAGGGGTTTAGTGCGCCAGACCCCTGTACCACTAACTGTTTAAAGCAATTTTCGGGGTTTAGGTTTAAGTGGGCAAATCCCCCACACACTTGCGGTTTAGATCTACATCTTTGATGTTCGGGGGTGGGGTGGGGTGTTGCATATCTGAATTGAGATTTAAGGCTGTATAAGGTTTAAGGTTATAGGATCATGAAATCATGTAAGTGTGAATGAAAGTCAACTATGAATAGTACTCATTTGAGAGAATAAAGTAAAATTTTGTATTTTCTTAATGTTATGGGATTCTAAGGGTGGGTGGGTGTTATTTCTAAACCATAAACACAACTGTACTTTAAAGCTGCTCGATCCGGAGCTGCTAAACCCTAAACCCTAAGCCCTAAACCCTAAACCCTAAACCCTCAACCGAAGGATTCCGAAGCCTCCAAAACAGGCCGCAGCAGAGGCCGCGGAACGTGGGGACCTCGACGAGGCCGCCGCAAGAAGAGCGTTGAAGTTTTTGGGTTGAGGACTTCGGGTTTTAGGGTTTAGGGTTTTAGGGTTTTAGACTTTTGGGTTTAGGGTTTAAACTTTAGGGTTTAGGATTTCGGGTTTTCGTGTTCTGCGTGATGGTTGTTTAAGAGTTTAGTGTGCTTTCACCGCTCTGCCATGAGTCAGCTACTTCCTCCTTTTATTTTTGCCTTTCTGCTTCGTACAGATTTTCTTCGGGGACTCCAGGACGCAAAGACCGAATCTCTCGCACCTAGACAGCACTGGATGCCGTGCAGCATCATGCCATGAACGGTACTATACACTATTGTACGAGATCGTGCCGTATCATATCATATCATATCATATCATATCATCTTTCGTTTGCAACTCTTAGAGTAGACTTTCACAGCCGAAACATGCTCTCGGATGACGGGTTTTCAGAATTCTTGTTTATGGGGGCCATGGAACCGAAATCCCAAAGGGGAGGGGAGGGGAAGGGAGATTCCGGGAGGGGACGGAGTGAACCTCTGATCGCTTCGGCCGGGGCGAGGTGATTTTCGGATTTTCTGTGGCTGTTTTTTTTTTTTAAAGCGGTAAGGATCTTTTTAAAGCTACGAAAGAAATCGACGTCCTGAAAGCGAGCCAGACTTCTTCCAGGCCGTGGAGAAAGCTTCGGCGGCCATTGCTTTGGGCTGGGGGCTTGGAGCACTCCAGTGGGTATTATCCTAGGTGGCACTTTGGAAAGTTGTTTAATTTCCCTTATGTTTTCTATAGAGGTACTTAGTCATAAATGCTTTTAAGGGCCCCGAAACTACAACCCAGTATCCGTAGTTGCGACCTAAAAATCATGGCCATCGTCCTACAATCAAGCTTAATGTTGTCAGTCTTCATCGATGACGAAAGCATTTACTTCTGCCAAGGTCACAAGTATGATCACCGTTTTTGGCATACTTGCGAGTGTTTGTAGGGACTCACCTGCCTGTAAACTAGGCCAGTACTTGGAGGTTCATGGGTAGGTATAAGTATATCGGGTTATAAGTAGGGTAACTATACTTGTCACCCATATCAGGGGACTTATAAGTATAGTTACCCTGCTTATGACCCTAGTTATAACTACCCTAAACCCTAATCCCTAAACCTGAAACCCTGTAGAACCCTTGAAGGAACCCTAAACCCCTCATAACTCTAGTCAAACCTACCCATGAACCTCCAAGTAGTCCCTCAACCCTATACCCTTATAGGACTCCCTATAGATCCCTTTAAAGGGACCCTTAAAGGACCCCTTATAACTACCCATGAACCTCCAAGTAGTGCGGTTGCCTCTCGATGGAACCTGCGGTCTGCTGCCAGATGCCCACCCGGAACAGGGCTGACTGGCATTTCAAGAGATTCCCGTATCCCGCCCAGCTCTTTTATACTATAGTATAATATACAATATTTTATGATAATATAATAAGCATAATATAATGGGAGTCTAGAGGCATAGCAGCACATCTTCGCTGAATTCTGGAAGACAGTTTCGAGCAAGTGCCCTCATCTTTTCCCTTTTCGTTAGGATGTGCGTCCTCGCTGATGTACTGCCGCCGTGCCGAACTCCTCCTCAGGCGACGCGGCATCTGTTGTGTCCTTCATGGGTGTGTGTTTTTCAGTAGTCAGCGCATGTACTTGTAAATCGTGAAGCAAGTTAACGTAAATGACACGTAAGTGAAATGAAGTAAATCGAAAGAAGTAGAGCAAAGTAGCGTAGCGTGAAGTGAGTGAGTAAATGGCAGGTCAGCAGGCAAGCAACTAGGTACCAAATAGGTCTGGTCTGTCTCTGATTACCAGGGCATGCAGCCATCTCTGCTGATTCACCTTACCCAGGGTTCTGGGCCCTCTCGCCGAAGCTTCGGAGCCATGAGCCTTGGAGCCTGGAGCCTGCTCCTGGCTGCGAGTGCATGGTGGCCTTTCCCTTGCAATGGCCAAAGCTGCCTCTTGCAATACAAGACCGACACGGAGACCACATACCAGACCTACCACACTCAGACGCAGGTCCGGCATTAGGAAGCAGCTGACATAGCCAGGGTCCCCTTCTTAGGCCGTAAGCTAAGTATGCCACGGTTGCTCGTTCCTCGAAGCAGGTTGGCATGGACCTGGTCGTGCCGATTTACCAGTGGCCGGCACCACTGGCTGGTTCTATGTACGAACAAGTGGCAACCTCGTCGGCGCGCACAACTACGATCATCAATCCAGGCAATGGACTAGCAAACCAATGCCAAGGTTCTTTGCCCTTGGACCCCGTGTGGCGACCTGTGGTCACCTTGTTTGATGGCAACCCGCTCGCACGGACAATTGGGTACGTCTACAGTCAGTGGGGCAGCCACTCTTTGGCCGTGGTCAAGCAATCCATCGACAACTACTTCGCCTGCTTCAACGTCTCAGGGATCTTTGTAGACGAAACTGCTACAGATCCCAGCAAGTGCAATGGCAATGATGCTTACTACGACCAACTCTACGCCTATGTGAAGAGCAAGGACCCTTCTGCTGAGGTCATGTGCAACCCTGGCACAGGCGGGAATCTAGAAAAATCGGGGAGTGACAAGGTTGTTGAACGCAGCCCCGACCCCTTTCGTCCCGCAGATATCAGGCTTCGACTATGGATCTTGGAAGCACTGCTGCGATCGAGCCATGGTTGTGGAAGTGTCGCTGAGCTCCTTCACCAGCGGCTTCAAGGATCCCAGCCCTTTCACCGGCCCCACGCCGTATCCGCCTGGCTTTGCCGTGGTGCTTGCGCTTTTGTTTGCATTGCTTGCACTGCTTTGTCCTGCTGATGTAGAGGATTTAGGGCCAGAGAAAACGTAACCGCCCCCGAGTCCTCTTCCGAAAACGGTCCTACGGAGACACTTCTTTCACAGACTTGGGGCTGTAAGCATGTGCGGGGTCAATAGGCTGTGTTTTTTTCAGTTCTTCCGGTTGCATCAGAGGTCTATGGTTAACAGCGGCAGTTGTAGGACAGACAGCAGATGGCAGGATAATTTTGTATGTGCCCAGGGTGTGATTTCAATCTGAAATCCAGGGGTTTGCCAGATGTGGTTTGAATGTGAAATTAATGTGGAATTTTTTAGGGTTCTATCATGCAGTACGACCAACAGTATGTCAGGTGCAGTGTTCTCTGCAGGATCCCATTGCAGGTTTGCGACAGCTTGGCCCAGGAAGCTTAGATTTTTGCCGCGGGTCGTTGGGAACTTGAGCTCCAGAGTAAGGGCGGATGCGCATCGATAAGATGTTACTATGTAGTGACAAGCACAGCAGGCTAGCAGACGTTGAACCATGGAAGCCAGCCATGGGTGGCTGGCTCTAGCCGCGTCGCATGCGACCGGGCATGACTGCTCACAAGAGAGGGACCCCCCCCCTGGGACCCTCCCTGGAAATCGCATCGAAATCACATCGAAATCACATCCAAATCACATCGAAATCACATCCAAATCACATCCAAATCACATCCAGAATCACATCGAAATCACATCCAGATCACATCCAAATCACATCGGATGTGAATCCAATGTGATTTCAATGTGAATCCGATGTAATTCTGATGTGAATTCGCCGTCCCCGCCTAGGCCCACCCCCCCCCCCTCCCTCAGGGGGGGGGGTCGGCCCCCACAGCCGGGCCCCCCTTCAGCGCTCCCCCCCCCCCCTACCCCCTCGCCGGCCCACCCCCCATCGAAAGGTCTCCCCTCACGCCTAGATACGGGGCTACAAGGCTCCAGAATGCAGCGCAGCTGCACGGATTGCTGGCCTAGCCGTAAATATGTTATTATCTCGAATACCCTGAGGCCTGCATTACCCCAAAAAGCACCACTTGGCACTGTCATCCAAACCCATTACCGCTGTGCCGATTTGCAGCTAATCTTCTCTAATGCCCTATTCCAAGACCATAAGTCAGTCTCATTAAAATCACATTAAAACCACATTAAAATCACAAACGTCATTAACATTAAAATCACACTAGAAACACATCCAAACCACATAAATAACTATTCCAGGAATGCGGCCTGTAGTAGGGAAGTGCCGGTCTTAAGTCTATGGGGTGCCAGGAGTGGCGGAGATGCAGCAAGTGGTACGCCGGGCAGCATGCAGCAATTTCACGAATGCAGACGGGATATGGGTATTGGAAGAGGGCGGCAATGGAGTTCTGCCAGGATACACGACGATGCCAAGCTACTTTGCACAGCAGGTGGACTTTGTAAAGACCGCGATAGCGCCCGAGTGCCCACCGCCTCCCGCTCCACCGGTTTACACCCAAGCCCCCACGGGGGGGAGTTGTTGGTTCAATCCCAGCGACCTCAACTGCGAGCTTTGCTACCCGGGCTACAACCAGTGCTATTGGCAGGGATGTTCCTTGGCTCTGTGCAGTTTTGTTTGTGGGGTTCCTTTTTTGGGGTTCCCCTTCCTCCACAAGATTGCTTGCCACACATGATTCGCTCGTGCCTGCAGGAGTGTAGCAAAGCACACATCTGTCGCGTGCCAGGTTACAAGCACCAGTGCTCTCCAAGCGATGGAAGCGGTTGCACAAACCCTTGTTCGAGTACCTGAGTTGGTCCTGGATTGCGCAGACCATCTCATGGAGCAATAGCATCAAATGCAGCCCCCTGTTTGTCTGGAAGCGACAAGGCCTTCCCAGTGACGGCGGGTTTCTGCACACTGTGAAGTCTCAATGGGTGGTTGTCAAGATTAGGGTCCCTTTTTGGGTCCTTATTATAATACGGCACCTATTATTTAGGGTACCCAACAGGAACCCTCATTTTGACAACCACCCAAATAAATACGAGTAGTGTAGTCTTGGTCGACTGGGCTGCCTGCAAAAGTCTACAGAGCCTGGTCACATCAGCTCGCCTTTCTGCTTCGACTCTCGAGCCGTCGGTCTTCTTGCGCGGTCTAACCGGATCATGTTTAAAACTGAAGCAATGAACCTGGTATCCATCTGCGAGTTTCCGAAAATAGGGGACCCTAAATAGTAGGATCCTTATTCTAAGGACCCCCAAAAAACAAGGTACCCCCAATTATCGGAAATTTCCATCTAGACCCCAATACAAACCCCAACCCAGACAGAACGGAAACCTAGAGCCCGCGGATGCGAAGCTTCCAGCTCCCAGAGCTTCCGGATATCGGAGCAAGCAAAGCAGGGGAGCTTGAAGTCGTACTGTTGATGGACAAAATCCTGCATTACCCAGTATAAGGAATATACCATAGTTCCCATAGTTTAGAGTCCTTAGGGTCATGCAGGATTTTGTCCATCAGCAGTAGTAGTCGGTTTTGGGGTTATGGGGTCTGCTTGGAGGTTCATGGGTAGCTATAAGTGGGCTTATAAGTCCCCTAACATGGCCTACTTATAATCCTACTTATAACTACCCTAATCCCTAAACCCGAAACCCTGTACTTAATAGGAACCCTAAACCCCTTATAACCCTACTTTTAACTACCCATGAACCTCTAAGTAGGGCCTGTTCTTGGCACCTTGTGGTGTATGAAGTGGAGCCTGTGGAGCTGCCTAGGTAGGCTCCCAACGCCCAGCTCCCAGTCCGAACTGGGAGTTTCCGAAAATTAGGGGTACCTTGTCTTTTGGGGGTCCTTAGAATAAGGATCCTGCTATTTAGGGTACTCTTTTAGGGTCCCATATTTTCGGAAACTGCCAACTGAAGTTCCCAACCTTTGGATCTTAAGCTGAGCCTAAACCCAAAGCATTCTGCCAGGACCCAGCGGCCACGTGCAGCTCTGCGGGATTGTGATGCCGCGCTTGCGGTGAACCCGGACTCGGGGAAGGCCACGACGGGATTCAAGGGCTGAGAGCTGTGATTATGGATATTGGTTCATCAATGTCTCGGCTATGCAGCCAGCCTTTGATAAACCACCGTTCAGAAACAACCACATAAACCCTAGGCCCTAGAGTCCCGGAGCCTGATGCTGAGACTGCGGCCGGGTTTTGCACAGAGCTTTGTGAATTGGCCTGGGGTTTCTGTGCCTTCTTTAACATGCTTGCGGCGTTGTATGATCAAACGACTACTCCCCGTGAACAGTCCTCTTTTCTTGTCTTACTTCTGCCAAAATCCCAACTAGATCCCAAATCCTAAGCTCCGAAACCCTAAAGCCTAAATCCTAAAACCGAAGCCAATCCAGTCTTGTGGCGACTGGGCGAGGCTTACAAGACCCGCGGGCGTGCTCACATGCAGCTGGAAGACTGGACAAAGGTGCAGCCTGGTCTCTGTTCATGCAAAGTGCAGAGTGCTGGAAGGCCTAATGACATTGCTATGTATGTATGTGTGCATGAATGCATATATGTGTGCATGTACATAGGTATATATATATATATATATATATATATATACATACACACAAAATACGCACATACCTACATACATATACATATACATATACATATACATATACATATACATATACATATACATATACATATACATGTACATATACATATACATATACATATACATATACATATACATATCCATATCCATATCCATATGCATATGCATATGCATATGCATATGCATGTACATGTACATGTACATGTACATCTACATCTACATCTACATGTACATGTACATGTACATGTACATGTACATATACACATACATATACATATATACATATATACATATATACATATATACATATATACATATATACATATATACATATACATATATACATATATACATATACATATATACATATATACATATATACATATATACATATACATATACATATATACATATACACATATACACATATACATATACATATACATATACATATACATATACGTATACGTATACGTATACTTATACGTATACATATACATATACATATACATATACATATACATATACATATACATACATACATACATACATACACTCAGAGGTCTTACAAATGCACGCGCGCACGCGGACACCACGTGGACGCAGATAGCGCTCCCGTGACGTGACAGCTCATTTAGCCGTTTGAAGACATCCAAGCACAGGAAGACCAGCAACACTGCACTCATTTATTTGATCCTAAATCTAAAGTCCTAAATCTAAGCCCTGAACCGCTCAACCGCTAACCCCTCAATACCCGAATCTTCAGAGTGTTTGGGGCGCAGGCGCAGGCAGATTTCCGAGAAGGCCTTCGGATTGACTTCGACGAGGCCTGCTTGGTGGGGGTGGGGGTTCAGAAGACGGGGGTTGGGGACTATGCTTGGGTCAAAGGCTTTCTGGGCGGTTACTGGTTACAGGGTTTGGAGTTTGTATGTTGTCGTGGTTTTACGCCGCAGTTCTACATTTTTCTAAATTTGGATACAGTCTTTGGAGGAAGAAACACTGTAGTTTTCGAAAGCCATACAAGGACGGGCCAGGCCAGGTAGGAGGGTTTGCTATTAGTACTTGGAGGTTCATGGGTAGTTATACATGGGCTTATAAGTCCCCTACTATGGGTTATACGTCTAGTTACCCTACTTATAACCCTACAACTACCCAAAAACCTCCAAGTATCTTCTGGCTTACGCACGGCATTCGGTTCACGATCGTCAGGGCTTTCAGGCTGGAGGAGCAGCGTCGGGCAATGAAGGGTCCAGGTGGCAGTATTCATGGGTAGTTATAAGTAGGGTAGCTATACTTATAACCCATATCAGGGGACTTATAAGCCCAATTATAACTACTCATGAACCTCCAAGTGGGGTACTCTGGATCCAAGTGTGGGTGCATGGGACGGTTGAAGCGCAATCTTCAGGGTGCTCCAGATTTCTGCTGCGTCAGCTCCGCACAAACGGTGAGTCTCTCGCATGCTGGTGCTGTTCACTAGTCTTCAGCCACACTCCCATACTCTGGGTCCTCCCCAGAGTGCCAACTCATAAAACCCTAAACCCTAAACCCTAAACCAGCAACCCGGCGAATACCAAAGACCTTCACAGCACCAAAGGCCCTGAACCCCAAATTAAAGTTAGCGGACCCAACTCCCCAGTCCAGAATCCCTGCATCCTAAAATAGAGGCCTTAATAATTACCCATACTATTTTGGGGTTCCTGATTATATTACAGTATATGATATACAACAAAACCCTATTCTATGTAGTTAAGGCCTCTATATCAAACGGGCACAGGGCCGTCTCCTCCTTGGGCTGAGGCTACGGAGGCGGAAGCTCAGGCTGCAGCCCAGAAGCTGGAAGAGCAGGCGCGATTCTCTATTGGAACCGGAACACGGTTCCCCTAAACCCTAAACCCCTAAACCAGGGTTTAGGATGGGTTTAGAGCTCAAAGAGATCTACGGGATCTTCGTGTAATCACAGACGGAAACCTCGGTTGAAAGCACATGGCATAATATTCGGGCCGGTGACCAGAGCTCATCGGGTAAAGATGTGAAGCTGTACAGCGGATGGGACTGCATACAGCTGCGCAGAGGGTTCGGCTTCAGCACGTGGGATCTGACCTCGTGCTGTCAGGGTTGGCATTCAAAGCGGCACATGTTGTTACATGTTTTATCGTTTTGGTGCTCGCACTACTCATTTCGATTCCAATCTTTCTGGTTCGTCCTCCTCTCGGACTAGTATGTGATTATTGTTGCTGTCGGCGATGGCCATGAACTTGAGCTAGTTGGTAGTCTGAGTTTTGGTTGTTTTCGGTCGTGCTGGGCTGTTGCTGCTGCTGCTGCTGCTGCTGGTGATCATGCATGTTGGGTTGATGATGATAAGATGGTGTTGCTGCTGTTGATCTTGCTCCCTGCTACTCTACAGGCGGTGTTCTTGTAGTTTAAGGCTTGCAGCCGATTCCGAAGGCAACTTACGATGCAATCTGTGCGGCTCCGATCATGCCGACACCTCCCACTTCTCCGACGTGGCTTGAATCGGTCATTCCCAAATCTTGACATGGCAAATCCCTGGAGTGTCCGTCATAGCCCCCAAAACCCGGAACCCCAACACCCCAAGCCCCTGAAGCTCCAAAACTCCAAGCCTTTAAGCCCTGAAAAGCTCAAAACCTCAAACGTCAGGGTCCTTCCCTGCTTGATTTCAGGCGGCGGCCGCGCGCCAGCGCTGGGAAGTCACAGGCGGCGCCGAAAGAGGAGGCACTCTTGGGGACTTGCCGCATCGCGTTAGGATTGTAAAGGTTGGGGCTGCGGAGTCTCCAGAGAATCACTGTGGTTTCATGTGGTGACCTACTCAAAATTCTTGGCCGAGACTGTCGACGCTTCCCCTCTATCCAGTTTCCAAACCCGCTGGTGCAGTTCCGTTGTGGCCCGAGGCTAAGCCTCAGCCCCAAACCCAAGTTAGCCGCAGAGAGCACGCAACGCCAGGCGTAGTGGTGCGGCAAGGTATGGAGCTGAAATCTCCAGAGGCGCAGACGTACGCAATACGTGTAGCTGAATCTGGAAACAACTGCATGAATGCGCTCGCTCGCTCGCTCGCTCGCTCGCTCTCGCTCTCTCTCTCTCTCTCTCTCTCTCTGTCTCTCTCTCTCTCTCTCTCTCTCTCTCTCTCTCTCTCTCTGTCTGTCAGCATGTATATATATATATATATATGTGTATGTGTATGTACGAGCGTATGCAAACTTAAACTGTACAGGCAGCACATACATGCATGTACAAGGTTGGTCGAGTTTCAAAGTAGCATCATATGTATGTGCATGTAGTGCACAGGCATATTCACACTCAAGCATCGGTATATGTGTATGCATGTACATATATACATACGTGCATCATCACATATATGCACCCCATACATGCATACGTGCATGATCTTTGCACGGACATGCACTTGTCTAGCCGATTTCGCTCGTTGACATCACATGAACAAAGCCGTCGCTGTCTTTCGGCATCTGTCTACCTAGCCGCCTGCATGCCGCATGAATCCATGTAGACATTCCTGCAGACATGCCTGCATACATACCTATGCATAGAAATACGAGACGGGAAACATGCACGCATACATGAATTCACACCTCAAATATTTGCAACAAATGCATACGCACAGAATGGTGTCATTTCGGGTTCAGCTACTGCTTAACACACCTATTATAGTGCTGAGACCTGAGTGTTTGACTCTGCAGTGGCAGATGAATGAGTGCGTCTTTACAGGTTGCCAGAGCGGGAATTCCTTGACCTGCGATCTGCGGGGCATTTTTGGGTTCGCTGCAGCAGTTTACCAGTGCTGATCAGCTTGGACTCTCATGTGCCGTTTGCCTGCTTCTGAGAGGCATATATAGATTCTAGACTTTCTTCCAGGCAGCCTCGCGCTTGTCCACCGGAGCCGTAGTGGAGGACTGCTCTGAGTGTTTTCATGCTCCGTTTATGATGGAGACCGTGAATTTAGGAAAGTGCTGCCAGAGTCCTTCCTCATTCATGAAGCTCTCGGCTGCTTCAAGGGGAGCAGCTGCAGGTTCCAGCGCACTTCCCTAAATCCTAAGCCCTAAACACTAAACCCAAAACGCTAAACCCTAAAAGTTTGGAGGAGCTCGAGCTCGTGGGCGAGCGCCTCCGATATCGGCGGCTCACGGGCACGGGTCCGGACAAGGGTCGCGGACTTGGAGGGAACACATCGGCTGTGGTTTAGGGTTTAGGGTTGAGGATTCGGGCGCTGGCAGGACAAGAGCCACTGCCCTTGCAATCCCTTCCAGAAAGCTCAAGTTGCAAGTTAGTGTACATCCACATCTAGCAAAGAGGTTCGAAATAGCCAAAATAGACAGAGACAGGTAAACATAAAGAACAGATTGATGAGATACGTCAGCCTAGAAACAAGCAACAAAGAGTTGAATTATCTATTTCTATATATACATACATGGACGAATGCATCTATGTCTGCCTGCCTGCCTGTCTGTATGTATGCACAAATGCATGCATGCACACATGTTCACTGGACATCTGCATCCGCATGGACGTTATATGCCTGATCGAAAGCTTTTCTTAACTATTGTATCTTGACTATTGTATCCCTTCTTTAACGCCACTACCTACAGACCAAGTGTCCAGCCTAGCATGTGCTACACAACTCTGTGTCAAAGTCTACTCAGTGACTGATTTGAAGTAAGTATCCGTCTGGCCCCTTGCGTTCTACAGATGTAGACTATACAGGAAGGTGTTGTGGTCACTGTTGGTGGGGCAGCGGAGCACCCAAGACACAAGCGTCAATGATCAAGTTCTGAAGCATCGAACAAGCGATCGAAGACGCAGCGTATCTGCTATCTGTGAAAGGCCCTTCGCATCTGTTATGTGTCAATGCTGCAAGGCTGGATCAGCATCACGTTGAAGGACAAAGTCTGCAGCCCAGACTTGCTCAAGTTGCACGAGTCTGACCTTTGGAACGTGGTTTAAGAAGCTTATTGGAAATCAGAGTCGTTGCTGGCGTCGATGTATACAAGTAGCAGCTGCCATCCCACATGAGCTGCTGCCTACAGGTTCTCGCGTGTCGTGTCTCCTCGGCATCCGCCGAAGCTCCAGAGGAGGCATGCATGCCAGCAAAAACACCCTGTGTCTTGAGACCCGAGAGCGCTGTGTTGTAGCGGCTCCGGGGGGAAGCACTAATTAAGCCCTCGATCCAGGTTCCAAAGCCGGACGGGCTTATCAGGAAAGGGCTATGAGTAAGCTCGCCCCCTTCATAAGATCTCAGCAGCATGAATAGCACGGCGCTCATCATACTGTGTTACCCACCACCCCTGAAGACAAGCCGGTTTTCCACCTTCAAACCTCAATTGAATCTTGCAGTCGGAGCCCGATGTGACGTATCATTGCACAGCACCCAGGAGCCAAAAACCAGTAAACAAACCTCATCATCGTGCTGTTACGACGAGTACTGCTACGTCTATGGGTACTTCTGCCCTCAGCAGGAGGAGGAGCTCCGGGAAGAGGAGCCTTTCCCGGCCATGGCTCCGGACAGCGTCCAGGAGTGACTGCGTTTTGTTTGAAAGTGATAGCATAACATGTACTCATGCTCTTCGATGGCATCACAACGCATTCGTGGTCCGTAGTGGTGTGCGATTACAGTTTTCGTGTTTCGATCGGTCTGCGCCGGTATGCATTGTCATGTGTTTCTGTCGTTGCAGTGCCGTAGGCATGTAATTCTGTCGCATAGTGATATCTCACGGCAGGGTTTCATCACAGGTTCGACCAGATGTTACTTTAGCATGCCATCATTTTGTTGGCATGCTGCGGCGATGATGTCTAGTCTACTGCTGCGTTGCCTTTACAGAAGTATCGTATGTACTTTCCTGTGCTATCATTGCAGTAGTGCTGTCTTCACTGCATTAGTACTTGTACGGTTCAATCCATAATGTAATCTCGTCAAGCTCAGAGTTTGTCAGCCGCCGAAAGGCATAGGGTCTGGGCACATAAATATATTCACGAGAATGTCAGGTGATACAATCCTTCAACAGCTAGGTCGTACCATTCCACGATGATAGAGCTGCATGTTGGTAGGGTAGTCTGAGCAAGACAAGAACATTAAAGAATGTTAAAGAGAGTTAAATGCACAACGTCAAACTTCGGACCCGATTGCAATCCTCAACCATGAATGTATGTTGCAATAACACCAAATATGCACAAACTGCGTTGATTATTCCTCAATCCTTAAGCCCCAAAACCTTGCACCCCAAACGCTACATCGACGCCCTCGAGCCCGAACAAGCCTTGACACCGGAAATCAAATTGTAGTCTATACTATATTTGGTGCGACTATGTTACGATGCTGTACAATGCCATATGAGTTCTTTTATACTATACTATGCTGTACTATACTACATCATATAAAGAGAGGAGTTGGACGATGACTTGGCCGACCGCCAGGCAGAATTGAAGGCTGAGGCCAGACTTGAAGCCCGATTATCTGGTTTTGGGTTTAGGGTTTAAAGGTTTAGGGCTTAGGGGTTACTATAAGGCTTCCTTTAAAGGGATCTATAAGGGAGCCCTTATAGTTGGGACTTTAGTGGGAATAGGGTTTAGGGTAATAAGGTTTAGGTTTAGGGTTACCTAATCCCTTACAGGAGCCCTTTTATCGCAACCTCAATCAGTTTAGGAGCCCTTAGCCTTGGAGTAACTTATCCCTGTGTGTGGAGTGAACTTCCAAAAAAAAACCCTAGTCCCTGACAGTAACCGTTATGGGAACTACCCTGTGTGTAGCTGCCTGGACGTAGCTGCGAGACGGTGTTTTGGGCAATAACGTTACAGTGGCGGGCTTTGCCTCAGGGTTTGGAGGCTTTTAGGGTGGGGGCTTTATGGGGAGTACGTAAGTAAGGCATGCCTGGGCCTAGGGGGTGTTTTCAGCATCCCAGGCGGCCGAAGCCATGGAGGCGGAGAACTTGGACTTGGCTTTGTCAAAGCTGACGGAGGCCCGAACGGGCATCTTTGGCTTCGAGGCATACGTCTTTCTAAAGGTTTCCGGGGCAGGGTCTCCGAGACCTGCCACCCCAAACCCCACAGAGCCAAAGTCCTCGGTGGGAGGCCTCAATTTGATCGATCCCTGAGCCCAGAACCTGAGATGCAGCCGTTGTAGCGTTGTTTTACATCAGTGTTGTGGTACCGCTGGTGTCACTATATGACGAGTTACCAGCCAGTGTGTGTTGAAACGGACCATTTTGGTGTTGGCGCTGCGGTATGGTCCCTTGCGTAAGGTTTGTTCATGACGGCGTAGATCTCCCGATGCCGCAGGATGTTGTCAGCTTTGGGTGTACAGTTGGGCTATGTCGGGCTTGCACGAATCGATAGAGGGCGGAAGGTTCGGCTTTGAGGACGCTGTGCTGGTCGAGTTTGAAGTGTTTCGCGAAGTGCTTCGGCTCCGTCAGAAACAGTGAAAACTTAGAAAAAGGTGCATCAAAACCAAGATGCCCACAGTCGGCGGGGTGGACGTTCCCAAGTGGTGCGTGGCGGCAGGGCTCACGGTGATCACACCAGCTGCAGCTTACGCTTACATCCTACGGACAAGCCGCCAACGCCGGGAGTTCTTCGCATGCACGCCGCAGCCTAAGGAGGCTTCTGTGATCTTTGCAGGTTTGCCCATGGTCGCCAAGAAGAACCATCCCGAGAAAGCGGTGCAGACCGTCAAGGAACTCTTTGCGGAGTTGGGGCTAACTTCTGGCCTCCGTTTGCCCCATTGGCTGTTTGCTCGGGAGTTTTCCCTGACCACGGCTGATCCGGCAATCATTGCAGAGATTCAGTCCAAGAAGGACATCTTCCACTCGAGGCCCAGCAAAATACTCTTTGACACCACGATTCCGCTGGGCCTGCTAGCCTTGAGATCCGAGGGGCCACACTCTCAGTGGTCTTTCCACCGGCGCTTGGTGGCACCTCTCTTCAGCGACAAGTTTTTGCAAGGATACTCCGAGCAGATCCAAGACAAAGCTAACTTGCTGCAGTATATTCTGGAGGAGAGGATCAAAGCCGCGACAAGTGTGGAGGCGGAGTGTGACGTTCAGCATTGCTTGAAGCTTGCAACCCTGGATGTCATCGGCAGCATTGGCTTCGGCTTCGATTCTAACTCCATGATGACATACTTGCCCGAAGGTCATCCGAAAGCCTTGAGCAAGTCAGAGACGGCCAACGAGCTAAAGTTCCGTAGTTGATTCAGAAATCGTTTTCCATGCTTTTCTGAACGCAATCGTGCACTCTACAATTTTGTCATGCATTGGTGTGCCACTCAGGTTTTTCGAGGCTTCGGAGGCGTACTTGATGGAGACGCAGAAACGATCCGGTGAGCCCACGTTCGTGAGGTACTTGCCTCAACGCTACATGCGCTGGCGGCAGGTAAAGAGGTTCATTGCCAGACGGATCAATGACGTATTGAGCTCCGGAAACACGTCCAGGTTGAACATGCTGAAGGCTCTTCAGGATGCGCACGAAGGCGACAGAAAGATGAGCAGGGCGGAGCTAACAGACGAAATTCTTACTCTCCTTCTAGCAGGTCACGAGACGACGGGATACACCACGTCCTGGGCACTGTACGAGGTTGCTCGACATCCAGACGTGCAAGACAAGATTCTTGCTGAAACCTCTGCCGTGGACCTCGACACTCTTCCGATGACATCTGTCGAGAAATCGCTGCCTTACACATGGATGCTTACTTAGCCATTGGGAGAATTGTCCATACGCTGTGTGATTTGAAAATTCGGGTTATGTAAAGGACTTTAAGCTTTTCCGGACCCGTTGAAGAGACGAGGATGGCATGGCAAGAGGCCTTACGCTTGCATCCCACCCTCACCTCACTCTTTCGGCAGGCGGAGGTCGATACCACCTTGGGAGGCAAGTGCAGGCTTTCGGGTTTAGGTGTAAGGTTTAGGGCGTGGGGCATTAGGTTTAGGTTGTAGGGTTGAGAGTTAAGGGTGCACCACCCTTGGAGGCAAGTACAACATGCCGAAAGGCAGCGTTGTGCAGGTGTCTCAGTTGGGCCTTGCGCACAGTGAAGATATCTGGGGCCCGGATGTCATGAGTTTCTCTCCTGAAAGAATGGCGAAGGGCTACCCAGAAATGCACTTTTCCTTTGGCTTCGGTGGAAGGGTTTGCATCGGCAAAAGGCTTGCCTATGTGGAGGGTGTCTACTTCCTTGCGTTCTTGGTAAAGAACTTCAGGCTGAGAGTGGAAGAAGGTTCCCCGGCTCCCACATCGAGGTTGACGATTACTCACCACGCCAAGGAAGGAATCCGACTTCTGATGTCCAAGGGTAGACCGTAGAACTTCTTGATGTTACAGCCACCAGCATGTGGCATGAGCCCAAAGAGTCCAGGGCAGTTCTTTCCTCCTTTGATTTCCCACAAATGCTGAGCGTTTGTTTTTCCATGCCGACTCGCATGTCTCGAACGGGCCTAAGGAGGCTCGCCTGCAAAGTGCCGGCATTCTCAGCTCGATGTGAATGGATTGCCCTTTCTTCCAATGTTGGGCACGTTTTAGCCGCCACCGGCAACTCAGACCAGCAGATCACTCGCAGCTGGCAGCAGCGGTGAAGCTGGAAGAAAGTGGATGAACCTACATCGAGAAATGAAAACAGAGCGGTTCCGCGGTTCTTGCCATGAGTTGAGACGGGGCCTCATTCTAAACCCTCCAGTAGACTGAATTTCCTGTTGGTTCTCGCTTCTCCGTCAGGCCATCTCCTTGGGCTGTGCCACCGCTTTGATGTATGGCAGGCACGCACCAGGGTCTCTGGCTCACGTCTTCCTTTTTGCGCAGCTTTGGCTACGGCTTTTGGGATGTAGGACGCATCGGATTGGCATGCTGAGCCCTGGCTCCCGAGGAGACTCGAAGCTGAAAACTCCTGAGCAGACTTTGCTACTGCTTGCTTTGACGGGTGAGGGTACTGATGCTGATTAACATAAATGCTAGCTGCTAGTGTTGTTGCAACTGCTACTGCTACTGCTACTGCTACTAGTACTAGTACTAGTACTAGTACTAGTACTAGTACTAGTACTAGTACTAGTAGTGAAAGTAGTCGTAGTAGTAGAAGTAGTAGTAGTAGTAGTAGTAGTAGTAGTAGTAGTAGTAGTAGTAGTAGTAGTAGTAGTAGTAGTAGTAGTAGTAGTAGTAGTAGTAGTAGTAGTAGTAGTAGTAGTAGTAGTAGTAGTAGTAGTAGTAGTAGTAGTAGTAGTAGTAGTAGTAGTAGTAGTAGTAGTAGTAGTAGTAGTAGTAGTAGTAGTAGTAGTAGTAGTAGTAGTAGTAGTAGTAGTAGTAGTAGTAGTAGTAGTAGTAGTAGTAGTAGTAGTAGTAGTAGTAGTAGTAGTAGTAGTAGTAGTAGTAGTAGTAGTAGTAGTAGTAGTAGTAGTAGGTAGTAGTAGTAGTAGTAGTAGTAGTAGTAGTAGTAGTAGTAGTAGTAGTAGTAGTAGTAGTGGTAGTAGTAGTAGTAGTAGTAGCAGTAGAAGTAGTGCAGCAGCAGCAGCAGCTGCGACTAACTGCGACGAGGAGGACGACGACTACTGCCTGCTGCTGCTGTTGCTTTGCTAGTCGTGTAGCAGCATTCGTCGTCGTAGTAGTTTCAGTAGTAGGAGGAGAAGTAAGGGTGCAAGTCTTGTGGCAATAACAAACAGAGCAGTCGTAGTGCCATCCAAAATACTCATGATATGCGTGATGTTCGTGAAAAGGCGGGCAGAGCTCCTACTGCGCTTGGGTCGGCCAAGAGCCGCTCGCCGTGACTGCTCGGCGGCGCTAGCACTAAACCCGGACTCGGGGAAGGCGCGATTCTTTGAGATCTGGCTCGTCTTGCTGCGGTCCATGCGCTAAACGTCGCTTCCTGCCTGCATGAATGCGGGTCAGCAACTCGGTGAGATGATCCCACTTGTCTGACGTAAGACGTGCCGCACTGAATCTGGTGAGGAACAGAATCATGAGGATTTTCGTCCGCTTCACCCGCACGGCCCGTGAACCTTTATGAAGCCCGTCGCCATACGAACACTGCGGGGATTGTCGAGAGATGGCGTATACCGTGCAGTTTTTCTATTCTCGACCAGCATTTGTGACGCTAGCCCACTTGGGGGTGTACAGTACATCGCGCACAAGATGTCGTCATCCACGGTTGTGGCCGTGATGGTTTGTAGGTTTGCAGCTGATGGTGCATGGGGATTGCGAGTAGAGTTTCCTTCAACAGCACAGTCAAGCCAGCTGTTTAGCCATGTGTATGTTCAAAGGTATGTACGTCTGTGTCTATGTGCATATGCATGTAGGACGCACGCATAATTGTTTTTCTGCTTGCCGATGCACAAGAAGCAACGCATAGAGTCCTTGGCATCGCTGCACATGGGCCTTCTCGCACTTCCCTTGGTTGAGACGAGAAGCCAAGCAATGTCAGTACGAGTCGCGCAGATGTGGTAAGTGGCTCAGAAGTGAAACCTTCGTCTCTTAATTCTGCTCTGCCCCCCTAGCCCTGCAAGCAGGCCTTCAAGACACGTGCGCGTGCGCTCGTGAAGCTCAAGCTTTGGAAGGATGCCCACGCAGACTTCCAGGCGACTTCAGGGGTTGCGAGTGGGAGGGTTTCGGGCTGTAGGGTTCATTCGATGAGGATCAGGGTCTAGGCCAAGGGGTTGCGGTTAAGGCCTCCGGACTCTGGATTTGGTGGCTTTTGAATTATGCCAAGAGTGCGACAACCAGGACAGCTGTTTTTCTCCGGAGCCCGGTTGCCCTAAACCCTAAACCCTCAACCCTAAACCCAATCAGAGCCTGCTCTCGTGTCTTTGTGGCCAGCAGGAGGGCTTGAAGATAGACTACGACGATGCCACGTACGAGGAGTCTGTGAAGGTGGCCGGGAAGATGAAGGAGCGTCTACTGAGTTTACCTTTGGTTTGTAGGGTTTGGAAGAATGGTAGTAATAGTAGTTATATTTGTACCCCATTCCTCCACTCCCTACTAACCAAGGGTAAGTGAAGTCTGGAGTCTTGAGATGTCTTGAGTCTAAAGCTGAAGGCATGTGCTGGGAAACTTGATATCAGGCCTCAATAGCGTGCAGATACGTTGAAGATTTGAGACCCCACATCCAAGCCGCTAGTGCATGCATGCGGTTTGCTAGTGTCTGGGGTTGTGCTTCCTTTCTTTGGTCTGTTTTCTTTCTCGCACGGCGTCGATTGCCGGCAGCCGAGAAGGAGAGACGACCCTAGTCGCTGAATCCCAAAACAGGCTCTGAATCATACTGGTTCATGGTGGAGATCTTCTTTGTAATACATCAGCAAGGCTCGATTCGATGCATCAACAATAATTTACAAATCGTAAAGACCACCGCCACAGCGCCTCTTCTGTAAAGTGACCCCATGTAGCTCAGAGAGACCCTACTTCTACAGTAGAAACCCGTATAGAAACGTCAAGGAGATCTCGGCAGTGGCCACGGCGCGCCGGGTGCGTAATGAAGAGGCGGAGGAGAAACGGAAGCAGCAGCAGGCAGGATTTTGGAATCATGCGGTATGTTTTGATGGGGGTTTAAGCGCCTACGTACGGGTTTAGGCTTGAATGGTCAGCCAGCGCAAAACCTAGAACTCTGAGCGAGGCCCTAAACTTAACTACAGCACTTCGATGGCTTCATACCTAAGTCAGCAGAAGAGTGTGGTGTTCTGCGCTCCAGCATTTGACGACTCACAGGCCGGACCAAAGTCATAGATGCTGAGCTTCTAAACCCGAAACTCTGATGGCATAGGCATCAAAAAATTGATAAGCATCACAAGACTTCGATAAGCACCAAACAAATGTGGTCCTCTAGTCCTCTGGTCTTCCGGTCTTGCGGTCCACTGGTCCCCCGGTCCTCTGGCGCCCTGGTCTTCGTCTTGTGGTTCCCTGGCCTTTGGGTCTTGTGGTCCTTTGGACCTGTGGTCCTCTGGTCCCCGGATCCTCTGGTCCTGTCCTCCAGTCCCGTGATCTGCTGGTCCGTGGTCTTCTGGTCACGCGGCTTTCTGCCTCCCTGGCTTCCTGGCTTTTGTTTTTCTATTGCTGGGCTTTTGGCTTTTTGGCTTTTCGGCTTCGCGGCTTCCTGCATTGCTAGCCTTTTGGCTTTTTGGCTTCGCGGCTTGCTGCCTTTCTGGCTCCGGGGCTGTGCAGGATTTATGTCAAGTTAGCCTGGACCCCCGTCCCCGCAAAAAAAATTTGAGCCAAGTGGTGCTTCGGCTTGGGACTGGTTCGCTGTATCCCACACTGCATTTTTGAGTTCGCCTGAGTCACAACATGCGTGGCTTGAGGCCGACCAAAGAGCTGGAACTAAGGCTGTAGCTGTGCCTCAGGCCAATCTTCCTGCTTCAGGGTTGTCCAGCCATGAGCTGGTGTTGTCGAGAACGCTGCAACAGCACAAGCACAAGGCTGCCTTGACGACCTCTGATGTCAAGCCTCACTTGAGTTCGAAGTTATGCAGTCAGCAACAGTACGAAGCAATCTTTCATCTAGCTCAGCAGCTTAAGATTGGTTTAATCGAAGGTCAATACCCTGGAACCAGATCCAGCCCATTCCGCCTGAAGCTCACCTTGGACCAAATGGCGCCACAAGTGCGGAGAAAACTCGGCCTGGAAGTTGACGTCGGTCAAATTTTGGACTCCGCATGTCCGCCTCAGCCACAGCTATTCTCTCCCGCGGCCATTCCGCCAATGCGCGGCGGAGGCAAGCGTGGCAGTGCCTCGCGTGCTGAGCCAGCCAACAAGAAAGGCCGCGCGGCGCAGGCAGCAGCTCAGCCCAGGGCCAAGGCAAAACCAGCTGCTGCGCCGGCTCGTGGCCAGGGCTAAGGCAGTGCCAGACCAGGAGCCCGTAAAAACAACAGGCAGAGTTTTGGCTGCTGACTATGTGAACCGGTACACAGTCACAAGCACAACGGATGTGGAAACGCCTTTTGAAGGCCAACAAGCATTCAAGAATGCCCAAAAAGCTTGGGCAGAAAAGTTGGTGCCAGGCCAGCATTTGAACATCAGACATCAGTGCTACCCCTTCAAGGACGGCTTCAAGGTCTTGCTCTGGTGCAACTCCTGTGCCACGTGTCAATCGAAAGACGGCTGGAAAGGCTACGCAACATACGATTCCATCAATAAGAAGTTGCGTAGAGAATTCACGCCTTTAACCGTGCAGGGTGACTTTTGCGCTATGAAGGCATGGACGCTTTTGACATCCACCGCAGAGAATGCACTCAGGGAGTTCCTGCAAGGCCACGCCAGTTTCACCACACAGGATCTGGTGAGGATCGTCGAGCAACATCAGTCGGAGCGGCCGTCTGATGCAAGGCTCCAGACATGGGGCTCGAATCACCGCGTGATCAAGCTGGGTGGAGCGGAGCGGGTGAGCAAGCTTAAATGGGTGGAAGTAGACTGGCGGCAACGGCTATTCGGGAACATGGAGGACCTGATGGCTGACCCGCCCACAGAGTGGCCATCCGCCTTGAAGTTTGCCGGCTGCAGCTACCGGGACGCCACGGCTGTGGCTCTCTGCAACCCAGCCTTGCTCCAGCAAATGCAGTCCCCACCGCCCGCCTTTTTCATTCCATCATCCGTGTTGAAGGGTACATTGCTGGCGCAACAGCCTCCAGAGCACAAGGCTGTCAAAGCATTGAACCAGCACTACTTGCTCCAGTGATTGCGACATGATGGAGGCAAAAGATCGCTTCGGCGTTCGTTACTGGCCCTGCCAGGATGCACAGGCGCACATGGACCTGGCAGACTGGTGGCATGGCCTGCAACGCGTGCAACCAGGTTCTGCGTCCGGCACTCAGTCACAGGTGGCTTGGCATCGACACAAGCTGAAAGAGCGCATTGGGTACTTGCACCAGTCTTCAGATGCCTTGCTGAAATCTTTAAACGAGTTTTCGCTGACACGTTTCAAGGACCTGCAGGCGACTGAAGGGGAGCTTCCTGATGTTCCGGTCGAGCCCTTCCCAGACAAACACGTGCTCCTCGACTGTCCTTGGCTCACTTCGCAGGGTCGTTGTTCTGCCGACCAATACCATCGGACAAAGAGTTACGATGTCTGGTCCGATGAAGTCGGCACGAGCTACCATGTTATGCCGCGCACACTTGCGACCTACGACACGAGCGCACAGACCTGGTCCAGAACTCCAAGTCCAGACGACCTAGTGGAAAGAGTGTCGCCCGGCACGGCCAAGGCATTGGCCAGCTTTTTCCAGGCGAGGGATGTAGACTGTTTACACTCTGCGCTGCATGCTCTCGGCTTGGGAGATGAGCTGCCTCAGGATCTGAACTCCCTCCCAAAGGCTCTGAGCAGATATGTGCTTGTGGTGCATGGCGACGCTGCCAAGCAATGCTGGCGCAAGGGGCCCCAAGAGGGTACTAACAACCCTCATGTCCAGACCCTTTGTGCCTTCTGTGACATTTTCTGCATGCATGCCACGCATGCCGGAGAGAGGCAGCAAGTCGAAAGCGCCACTGGCGCAACAAAACCCCATCCCCATCCTCCGCCTGGCGCGTCTCACTCCTCCAAACACCAAAATCCACCTGCGCCTATGCGCAGCACACCAGACCAGAGTCTCAAACAGCTGCCCTCCGCCGATTCTTTGATTGCACTTAAAATAAGGCGAAGCACAGAAACTAGACATATGCAAAAGAACAGAGCGAGCCACCGACCTAATCGCCGCCCACTTGAAGCGAGACAAAAATACAAGAAAGAGAGACAGAAAGTGCACCGGGAATCCGGCACTGGCCACCCACATGAAGTGAGACAAATGAGACAAAGCAGACCAGCCACCCACATGAAGGGAGTCCTTCTATGTGCAAGGGCCTGGGTTTCAAACATAAGACACATTTTTAATGTCGAGCTCGATATCGATACCGCCGAAAAGCGAGAATAATTGCATCGAAGTCAAATCCTTCGACCACAAAATTCCAGCGTAGCAACGTTAATGATGTTGCCTTGTGACGAGCAGTCTTGGGATGCTGTTGCTGCCGTTTCTCTAGACATCAAAAGGGGCAGAACATGGATCATCTTCATGACCTTGAGATTCCATGGAGTTCGCTGCTTGTCGTAGGTCGTAGGCCACGCTGAGCTGAAAGTGCATCTTCTTAAAATAGCAAGAAGCCTCCCGAGGGCACGCAACATGTCTAGTGCCTAATGCTCGTGCCAGTGCCAGGGCTGGTGCTGATGCTGGTGCTGGTGTTACTACTACTGCTACTACTACTACTACTACTACTACTACTGAGAGCACTACTACGAGTGCTACTGCTGCCACTGCTACCAAGAGATTGCACATTGTAGTTGGCCAATAACTAGACCCACGAAGGCGATTGCAACTTGTCATTCCCCAATAGCTTGGCCCAGCGCAGGAACTTGGAAATGTTACTTCGCCAATAGCTAGACCCACAAGAGGCGGTTGCAACTCGTCATTCCCCAATAACTTACGGGAGAGCAGTACCCTAGAATGGCCATGCAATTTTTTTGATGCTTGTCAATTTTTTTCTTGATGGCCGTGTGCTCAAATTCTTTTTGATGCTTATCAATACATTTTTTTTAATGTGTCACCCTCTATGCCCTAAACCCCGCAGCCGGGAGAAACGCTGAAAGAACAAAACCCAGCCAAACTCTAAACCCCAACGAAGCCCGACATGCTGAAACCTTAAACTTTATAAAAGCCCGATGCGCTACACCCTTTGACTCGCTTAAAACCTCAAAGCCGCAAAAAGCGAAGGCCAAGGCGGAGCAGGAGCAGCGGATGCGGCAGCTGCAGGCCGAACAAGCGGCTCGCGCCGAGGCGCTGCTTTGGGTTTTGGGGCTTCAGGGTGAGGGGTTCAGGGTCAGGGGAAGTAGGGCCTGTACTGGTTCTGGGGGTTTCGGGGTTTAGGGGTTGGGTCTTCTTTTGCCTTAAGCGGGATTTTGCTTTGGGCTTGGAGGCGCCCGGCTTTCGGGGCCTAGGGCTTTATCACCTCCACTGAAGAGTTGATAAAAGGCCCTGCAGCCTG